GGCTCGTCTGTGCCATGAAACACCAACACTGGACTGCTGAGGACTGGAAGAAGGTATTATGGACCGATGGATCAAATGTGAAATCTTCAGTTCATCACACAGGATCTTTGTCGTCGAGTAGGTGAAAGGATGGATCCACAGTGTGTGTCATCACCTGTCAAACATGGAGGAGGAAGTGTGACGGTCTGGGGCTGTTTGGTGCTGCATGAAGATGCTCAGTTGCTCAGGGGTTCATCCTAAAACAAGATAATCCTTTAGGACAGTTTGAACTGTTTTCCAAAAACTGGTGCCCAAAACAATCATTCATCGTAATGCGCCATTATATGTATTACTAACAAGAGTAGAGAAGGTGCCATCAGGCGTCTTTGCCTTATACCCATCAAACTTTTAGAGGTTCCAGGAGACAGCTTAACTGAACTGTCTAATAGAAGACTACTGTTATTGCTGATGTGTCTCCCTTTACGAATCCAAATTGTTCTTCATCAATTATTTTGTGGCCTTTTTCAGTCTCTTTGCAAAGATTATAGGCAAATGCTTCTGCATCATTATGTAGTAAACTAATTGGCTTCCAGTTATTCAGTTTTGTAATATGTGTAATCACTCTTTGTTGTGATGATGTTGGAAGTTCCTTGTTTATCAGTTGATTCTTGAAACATAGCAAGCAGAAAAGGAGCTGTGATGAATGTTTTGTAAACTTCTCCTGTTAATCTGTCATTGCCTGGTGATTTGTTGTCTTAGGGTTTCTTATGGAATCGGTTATTTCAGGCAGGCCTTCGTGTTGCATGTTTCTTTAAATTCCTTGTGAGTTTACCTGTTATTATGTTGTAATTTCCCTAAGAAATGTTCTGCACTGCGTGTTTGTTACATCAAGAATACATCTTTTGATAAAACTGGGCAACATAGGAAGATAAGTAAGGGTTATCATTGAGAGTGTTAATATTTTCCTTTTAAAATAGCGACACCTGCTGATCATTTTGCACCAAAAGAACAACAAATATCATTTCCCCATCGATTTCTCCAAAATGAAGCATCTTCTGAACATGCACGGGTTTCCTGAATAATATTCAACAGTCAGCACTTTGTTATTGGCAATAAGAAACGGAGCCTTTCTTTTTAGCAGATTCCTAATACGTCTGGTATTAATTGAGAACACTGAAACTGACATAAAGATAATAAAACTTAATAAAACTGTAATGATTAACGGTAAGCAGATCGGTTCTTCACATAGCAGAAATCTCATGACGGCTGCATATTGTTATCGAAGTAACATTATCAATAATTGCTAATATGTAAAGAAAAACGAACCTTTGAGTTGGAAGCCTTGATAAATATGGAATATATCACAGAGCAGGATGTCACCAATGACAGTAACAAGCCTCATGTATACCAAATGGCGTAGGGAGGTTGTTGTTTTTAACTGATTTTGCTTATACTTAATGGTATATTTTACATATTTGTTACGTGTAACCCATTTTATGGTATATTCTGAAAGTATTTCCTAAAAAGGAACATATGTTAAACGAATTAATTTGAAAAAGTTGCATTTAAAATAGTAAAATAAGTAAAATAAGTGCAGCAGATCAATTACTATATAATGAAATCAGTTATTATGTGTCATGGTCCTGGGCCGTGTTGGCCCAGTATTCTTAGTTCTCTTGTATTTTTGTATTCAGTTCCCTGTTTAGGTTCTGTTTCCTGAGTT